TAAGGTGGTCAAGGTTTGCCCTTAATTAAGTTAACATTAAACTAGAATTAGGTTTTTCCCGCAATCAAATTGTAATTTCTGGGCCATTGAAACGGATCTCGAGAACGCCCACACGCCAAAAGCGATCAAGGGCCCTTCACTGAAGATCTCTAGAGCCAGAAATACCCAGCTCCGAAAACCGAATTGCAGCTTAATGAGCAAAAGGGCGGGAGGCTATAAAAAGAACTGCCAAAAGAAAGTAGGCACATCGCTTGATGAGGTGATCAAGCCAAGGCGAGCAGTCCAAACTTCAAAGCCGGCAACAGCCCATCAAACATCATTGAAACAATAGAATGGACAGAAATAGTGGCGTGTACAGTGGGAGCTATTTTTACACGAAAAGATTTTTCAAGATCCTCAAGTCAGAATAAAAAAAAAAAAAAAACATAATATTTTCGGTAACTTAGGTAATACTTTGTATAACTAAGCTAAAAATTCGTACTAAAAGGGACAATAATGTGAAATATTTCAAAATGTCCTGCGACCGCCTTCATTCACGAGTGACTACTGTCGCAGTGGAAACAAGCGAGAACCGCCGGAATATTATGACATGCAAAATCCGTCAAGAAAGCCAGCAACAACAAGCACTTCCACTCGAAAAGGTTTGCGCATCGCGCAGTCGATGCCGCCAGAGGCAGCGACAGCAACGCCGCGCCGCTGCCGAGGTGGGCAGAGCTCAGGTGAGCAAAGATCTTACCTGTGAGCCCGACTTAGCCGCTAAGCTCGCTTCAGTTCGATTCTTGAGGCCGTTTAGATCGGTTCTGTTTGGCGACACGCGCACTGAATAATTCTTCGCTTTGGGAAGAAGACGTGAGAAGGAGTTTAGCGCCATTAACGTACGAGAAGATTTGCAAAAAGAATCGAATCGGTTACCCCAAACAGCAGCTTGATCAGCTGAGTGTTTCGCGAGCCGTAATTTAAATAAATTATATACATCATAACACCCTAATTAAAGAGACTGACAACCGGAGCGAGACTCTGCTTAAAAATACTTCAGATTGTGATACTAATTAACTTAAATTGCGTGTGTGATAAATTTCTGTAATAATCAAACAAATCCCGAGAACAAAACAAACAGAAAATTGCAAATCAACAAATGTAAGTAAAGTAACAACGCAAGACGACACATTAAGTAAACAAAAATAACGCTGTGTAAAAAAAAAAAACAAATCAAAAACTGGCCAATCAAGTTGAATCAATACAGAGTGATAAGACTTCCGCATGCCTAAATAATATTTACAATAAATAAAACGCAAGAAGCAGCGCGAACAAATTTATTAACTTCTGTGCTGTGTAAGACAAACGCACAAAACACACAAAAGTTTCGAGCAGCGAAATCAAACAAAAGACTAAAGGCACAAACTTGAAATGCAACTTTTTTACTTTAGCTACAGTTAATAGAATTCTTATATTTTCTGGGAGGACAATTGATTGCCACAATTACGGCAAAAGCAAACAAACGGCGAAGCCTTTAAAAGAGAAAGGCCCCAGATTTAAAAGCTTGCCCACAAAAAATAAACTGTCGACTAGCCGAATTAATATTAAATACAAATCAGGCTTTTGGCCAACCAAGACCGGAGACCATAAATATCAAACAAGTTGGCAACCAATGCAAAGCAAAGACAAGCCGAAAGACAACTCGAAAGTTCAGGTTTTGGATATTGGATTTTGATTTCTTCTGACGCTAGCACCACCAAATGGCAGGAACAGGGGGAACAGAGAACTGCGACTAGGGAAGACTTAAATGTGTAGCGCAGATATTGTGGAGCACAGCGAATCCACTGATCGTGACACGATCCGCAGCAATCACAACAAGATATAGTAGAGTTCCCCGACTATCAGCTAGTCGAAGTGCGAGCAAGAAAATTAACCATTTTTAGTATAAAGGGTAGTTTTAAAGCTCATAATCTAATTGTATAGACATTTGATACCATTCTGAGATACTAGTCAAAATAATGTCTAACCAACTGCTTTTTTTTCCCAACAGATGCAGGACTATTGGCACATTCCCCGCGCCTCGCTGGCATCCTCCTCGAGCTCGGCCATCAGTTCGGCCAGCTCCTCCAAGTCCTCAAACAAATCGCATTCGAATCCGCCCACACTGAACCAGCGCAGTTCGCCCAGTAACAGTAGCAACATTAACAATAACAATAATACAAGTGCTGCAGTAACTGCGGCAGCAGCGGCGGCTGTTCTGGCTGCTGCCAAGAGGGGATCGAGGAGTTCCCAGGGCTCCAGCGACAGTAACAACAGCACGCGGGTGAGTAAGCCGAGCCCACGCAGGCTCCGGTTGTGGAGAACCAAACCGTATCGAACAACCGTGACTCAACAAACATTCTCCTTTTTCCATTTGAATCACACAGAGCGCTGCTTCCGGCTCACTGCTGTTGACGGCAGCGAATCTGGAACGCTTTGCGGAGATCCACAAGAAGCAGGAGCGCCACAACAAGATGCTGATGCCCAGCAATCCCTCCACTTCAAACTACAACGCCAACCTGACTCTCGCCAGTGGCAAGGATGCGGTTATTGCCATCGAGGGTCAGCAGCCGGGTGACGTGGATCCCAACTTGCAGTATGTGAAAACCAAAGACCTGGATACCGTATCCATTGCTAGCTCCATGCATTTTACGATGGTCAATGGAGAGGGTGGTCCGCCGAAGAAACCGAAGCGTGGTCTCTGCGATCGGGGACGCCAGGTCACCGTGTTGATAGTCAGCATGAGTACCATCTTCATGCTGCTCATCATGGGCATGGTCTATGCGCTGGAGAGTAAGTTACTCCATATACACCCTGTTCCAGCTAAATTCTAATATCTATTCTCTTTCCAGTGCGCGCCCGCGACATGCCCAAGAGCTAGGATTTAATACCCACACCTAGCCAATTAGATTATTATTTATTGTATTGTCTTTGTCCCCATTATTATTATTATTGTTATCGTGTCGTCTTGGCGCTAGTTGTATAAGATATTTATTTAAAGATTGTTTGGATGGAGTGTCGAGTCAGTCGAAGCTGGGAAAATTCATTAGTATTAAGCGCGCTATGCTATGGAGACAGAGGAACATACAAGAAACTAGATCTGGAACGGATCGGGCAATCGCCGTCTGGTATCGGATAATGCTGTACTTTCTGGTTAGCAAATAAGTTATTATCCCTGTGATATGTTTAATAAAGTGAATTTTATAATTGTATACGAGGGGTTGGTGAGTCACACCTGTCGTGGGTTCAATGACTTGGGCTTTCAGCTATGACCGCTGCTTAGCAACCAGCGACTAAGGTATTTGGGCAAGAAAACTGTGATAACTGTGTGGCCGGACTTACCTCCACCTCCTGTAGTGTCTGTGTCCAGTTGTACTTGTCCAAGGTGCAGCCGTTGCCTGCATTCGGCAGCAGCTTGCCCACCTCACTCTTCTCGGAGTCATCGTCCACTTTCTCGATGGGCTTGGATATGTCATCGCGATTCGAGGCAGCTGGCTCTCCACCAGCGCTATCCAGCAGCTGCTGGCGTTTTCTGTAGGGAATTTAGATTGTATGAGACGTGCGAAAAAGGTAACGTACGAATGCTAAGGGTACAAAACATTTAGGCTAGGAATTTAACTCTTTGTAAAACGCTTTGTAAGTGAATTTTTGCAGCAATGTCACAGATTTTGCAAAGTACATAAGCTCGGCCTAGGTATTTTAGTAAATGATCTCTTAAAGATCCCACATACTTGTTCTCCTCCTCCTTGATAATGGCCGCTGCCTCTTCGTCGGTGATATCACATATTTTGTTATCGTCGATTTCCTTTTTGCGGGCCTCCCTTTCGGCCCTCTCCTTTTCATCTTTAATGCGCTGTGAGGCTTCGCGAGCCTTTACCTTCTCGTTGTGGGCACTCATGGCCAGCTTGGACTCCTTGTTGAAGACATCCAGCAGGAGCTTCTCCCACTCCGCCTGCTTGGCTCCCGTGAAGAAGTCGGTCTTGCGGCGCAGAAAACTGGCCAAAGTGCCGAGGAACTGCGATATAAAGCACAAACAACGTGATTAGCCAAAATTGAAACAAAGAAGTTGCGATCTTTGTTATTGTTTTACCTCGGGCACGCCACCGCGATGCTTTTCGGCCACGGCCAGCAGTATATTGTCAAACTGTCCTTCCTCAGCAGACATTGTTAGTATTTGTACTGTTCGCAATTGAAATTCGTTTGTTTCTGGACGCTTCGATTCGATTGGATTTTTTATCTGAAGTTTAGCTGCCGACCCGGCACATGTAGAAATAATGTGACCTGTTGTCGTTCGTCAAAAAAAACCCGCATACTGAAGCAAATATACCGAATGGACACAGAGCAGGCAGCATTTGAGAGGGTTGCGGGTAACGGTATTTTAGATTTATACATTGGAGCTTTTTGCAAGAGAATATTTGTAGTCCCACATTTTAATTAGTTATATCCTGCACTAAAATATATTTTTCTTGTAATGTTCATTAATATTTAATATTTACTTTCTTTCTTCTCGTATAACTTTGCCAATATAGTTAATTTTTATTTAAGTCGCAATACACTTTGAGTATCTTGTGTTATTTTTTCGTAATTATTCGCAGCACAAGCAAATTGATACATTCCGAATTTGTTTGTGCTGCGGCTGCGAATAATAACGGAAAACTGTTGTGAACTGAATACGACAGACAAGCCCAAATACAATTTGAATGTGTCTCAGTGAGAATACGAATTAGCTTTTGACAGTGAGCGCATCATGTAACGGTATTTAACGACTCGCATTAAAGTAAATAAATAATAAGAGCCACTATTAACTGAAAATAGGATAATCGGTTTCTACGATCTGCTAATATGTAGTTCTTTATTAATTAAGGGTTTAATGGTAAAAGATTACAAGTAAGCTAGAGTTCAAAAACAACAGATGTTACCCCCACTTCGTTTATGCTCTCACGCAACTTTTCGCTCTCCGCTTACTTTTGCGCTCTCTTTGGTTTGGGGATAGTTGCGATTTTCGTCCTATTCTTCCATTCTCATTCGGTCTTTTGAAAAATACGCACGTATTCTGAACACGCGGAATAACCAGAAAATATTTTAAAGCCAAATCGAAGTGGAAGTGCTAAAAGCAAGTGGAAAAGTGAAAAACTCCAAAGTTCTTGGTTTTGTGTGAGCGCGCAAAATACGGAATGCAGTGAATCGGTTTATCAGAAAAGTTGAAAGTAATTGCAAAAAATATGCGTGGAATTCCTGTGTCGCTTAAAAATGTGATATGCAAATTACCTAACACACACATGCATACGTGCATATCTAGCACGGTTTATATTCACCATAAGTTGAGGAATGGGAAAAACGTAGTAATGAAGACTAGATAAGGGTTCCGGGGAGCCCCTTTTTCTTAAGATAGCTTTTCCTGATTCTCGTAGGAGTTCCTCTAGAAAATCAATAAATTGTACATGGAGCACAGCAAGTAACACACACACGTTGAAAAGAGGGAGTGCGGAAAGAAGAAGCATAGCCAGAGAGCAGGAAGAAGTAGGAGAGCAGAAGCTCCCACACCAGAACTTACAGTGGGGGACATGAAACTAGCTGCTGTTTGAGATTCTGATTTAAATGTACTTAAAATAGGGTTCTTTTGAAGTGTTCGTTGCGTGTTTGTAAACATAAAGTGATACATTTATTTTAGCTAGTTAATCTCTTGTTTAAATATATGTTTTTTTACATTGTTTTTGATGTGCGTCACAAGCCTTATTAAATATTATACATTGAAATATCTTATTATAATAACAAAATTGCGTACACAAAACATGAAATTTAAAATTGAGAAATTTATGAAATTTGAAAAGTGCGCTATATTAATTTTTGTGCCTTTTAACCTATGGCAATGGCCAGCACTGTGACTTACCGCCCTGCCGCAAGCTTCTCATTCTTGTACTTGTTTTTTGCCGCTGCCAGTTCTGTTCTTGATGTTGCCCCTCCCCCTTTTATCTCCTTCTTGCTCGTTGACTATTTTATGGGCTGCCTGTGCTTCATTCGTGAATCTTGTTTCGCTATTTACCGCCCCTGCCCCTTTCGCTGTGATGCAGACAGCTGCTCAGCTCTTCCGCTCGCTCCGCTTCAAGGTCAGAGTAAGGTTAGCTCCGCTCTCCTCTGCTTCAAAGGGCCATGGCAGTGATTTCTTCCTCGCCGCTCCACCGCACTCGCCCTTCCCCTCGTCCGATCTTTTTCATTTCCCTCTCGTCGAGAACAGTGGCTGCTGAAATGCTGCGGCCACCGACTGCCGCAAATGGCGCTGCCTAATTGCCGCATCAAAATTGATGGCAGCCACTGTGTATCTGTGTTTGTGCTCGAGTGTCCTTTATTACACTGGGAAAACGTGCTGGCATTATTATTATGAAACAAGACCTATTTTACTCAAAGTGTAAGTCTATTGTATTTTAAAGTGAATAAAATTAGTATCGTAACATGTTGTTTTGTATTCACGAAAGAAACGAAATTTGTTCCAGCTTCTATTTATATGCGTGGGCGCCGAAGTTTGCCTTACTACGTCAATGCCCCTTGACATTTACACTTTCTCTCTGCGTGGGTGTATGGGTGTGGGTGGGCAGCTTCCGAGTTCGCTCTCACCCTAACCGCTCTCTCGCTTACACATCCTCCCGGTTTGCTCTTCTGACATAACGGTTATGCAATAAACGCCGCATTTTGCTATTTTTCCGCACGGAGAAAGGCTTTCTCATTTCAATTGCACTTAAATGTAAAGGATAACGTTCTTGGCTTTGTTTTATTACCGCTTAATGTGTGTGTTAGCACTTAGAAAGGATTGTGTAAAACTGAGTGAGCAAATAAAACCGTAGACAAAGGACCTAAGAAAAGATTGACAGATTTATCCGGAAGTGTGAGCCAAGTCTCCTCTTGCGGCTGAGTGCGTTTAGAGCTCTTTTCGGACTTATGGCGGATTTGTGAAGATGAAACTTAAACCGCATTCTTATTGGAAAGTCAGCAAAGTAGTGATGCCCCCAAATCAAATTCCGTATCCCCTTTGAAATTGGATATGTTTTGCGGTCTCGCTCGAAATAAGGTGGCGCCGCAAGTTTGGTTTAATGGTTCAGTGAATATCCGAACGGAAAACTTTTCAATTGCGTCGCAGCCTCTAATTCAAATGAGCTCCAATGGTGGGCATATAAAGCAAGTGCCCCCCATCAATTACGATAGTATTATAGCAATCAGAATACTCTGGACGAGGATGCGTCTCCCACTTAAAAAAAAAACAACAAAAGTATATTTCAGTCTATATAATACTATATTCATTGACACGGCAATAAAACTGGTTTATTGCCTCTCGAAAACGTCATAATGTTTTTGAATATTTTATTTTAAATATTTCCTTATTATGTTTTGAAATGACGTATGTTATTTCCTTAAATACATTGCATTCGCCGAACAGCAATGTAATATTCCAATACCAGATGATATTGGCTATTCGGGTATTTGATATTGTTAAAATACCCTTCATAAGCTTTAATCCTTCGGTATCGTATGGATACATGAATTAAACGAATTCACTTCTTTTGAGTATTTGACTTTTAAACAATTGCGTTGAAAACTGATTGATTTTTCATGGGGAGGATTACGTATGTGTAGTTAGGGGGAATGCTGATAAGCACGGTGCCGAGTTCTCTTATGACAAAAAGCAAACAGAAGCAGCCAGAACTCGGTACCCGGTACCCGTTACCCCATTGATTCCCAATTGAATCAGCTCCCCGCTGCAATTTACTTGGGTTCCATTTACATAACTCTGGTTATCTAGTCATGCCGGATAAGGGGGGCTGTAAGGGTCGGGCAACCTACCCCAAATGTGCAATTCCATCCCAACCATTTACGGTCATTGGAAACTAATGTAAATTGCGATGTTGCTTGCTTATTGACAGCAAACTAAAGGCTCGTCGTAATTAGCGGGGAAGGTGGAGAGCGAACCGCACCTAAGCCATAAATAGCAACCACTTGCAATAAATTTCTCCGAACAGACAGGAATTTATGGGGAAAATAAACTAAGAAATTGGAAACTTTCAATAAGACGCCATAAGTAAGTAGTGAGTATGGGAATAGCCCAAATATTTACCCGGAAACATTAAATAATTTAAAGAAATGTGAAACAAATAATTTCAATATATCTGAATCTGTAAAAATGCGTTAATTGTGAATACCTCTGATGCTTGACAGTATTCCATGATTATAAAAGCCAAAAAACTTAAGACCTTCATGATAATTGAGCATCTATTAGCACTTCTCATATACTAAGTTAGTGAAGGTCGAATATATCAAGTTTAATTAGTTATCACAATATTTTACTTCAAAGTTAGAACAGTGAGTTTCGAATACCTTATAGCCCTTTGATCTATTGATCTTAATAGAGTGAGTTATCAGCAAATAGACTAATTTTTTGATTAAAAGGGCTTTTTCACAAGGCTAATTATCAGCTCTTACAGCCCTTCTGCGCCCACTGTAGGTGTAGATAAAAAAGTTGTCATAATTGTAATTACTTGTACGTAATTCCGAGGCGCAATAAAAAACAAACCGCAAGATGCCCAGTTCATTCTCTAATTAAACACGCGAACATCGGGTAATGAAAACCAATTGTTGCTATTTTTAAAGCAATTTAGTTGATCCCTTTCGGAATCCGCGGCGAAAACTTTGCACAGCTGACTTAAGTGCACAGGTTGTAGGCCATAAAACAACGGGGGTACCAATAAACTTAACCCCGACTGTCTGATAAGCGCCCAGCCGAGTCAGATAATGCGCATTTATAGCGGCAATAGAACCCCCCTATGGATCCCCTCCCAATTTTGGCTAGGCCATATCGTAAATCGCTGGAAAACAATGTTTATAGCGTCGACGGCTACCGGAGTTGAGTTCTCCACCGATTTTTAGATTGTCCAAAAGAAGAAAGTTCTTTGGGGCTAATGGCTTTTTCATTGTGGGATCCTGGCACCCATTAGAACCGGCGATTGTAATTATCCCACTATAATGGCCCTGTGGCATGCCCCATCGCTTACCGTACTAACCACACGCAATGTTGTCGACGCATAATTTATTTCGGCGTTCGGGGTTATTGAAACTTGTTGCCTGCACTTGTTTACATCAAAAGTATACAATATCAGAGCGGAATATCTATAGCTGTGCGTATTTATCCTAATGCCCGGATACTCTTCTATGTTTGTAGTTGTGGGCCACACGCGGCTGTCGCTCTGTGGACTTTGAGCCAACGCAATGGATGGCTATGGCTACATCTATATCTACATATATCTCACCGTATCATCCGGTCGCTTCTCCATCGTGCGATTTATTCTCACTCGGTAGTCTGCAGACTTGTTTGCTATATTAAATTTCGTTGGTTTATTTGTCTCTCCTCTTTCCTTCTGCCGAAACGGGAGTCTAAATATTTACGTTGACTTTTGATCAGACTTAAGAACAGGGTGTCTCCACCCATTTGTAGGAATTAATTAAACGAACTAAGTGCTCTTAGCTAGATGAAATGTCAAAACAATTTTTAAATACCATTCGTCACGTGATCAATAATTCATCAGGAATTTATGTTCCGACCGTCAACTGCTCCATATAGATATAGTATGTACATATCTGTTTTGCCAGCATTATTCTGAACTCTGAAAATAGCCATCTATTGGTCTGACGCACTCGAAAGGTTATGCAATTAGAACGGCGGAAATTGGAATAAATTAAAAAGCAAATGATAAGTTGTCGATACAGAAGACAGATAGGGAGTGCTAAAAGTGTTTTGTAGAACTCCCAAAGATTTATAATCCGTTTTTTTATAATCCTTACGTTATGATCAAGACATACATAGGACCTATGCATATTTTTTTGATGTTTTCCATGAGTAGCTATTATATTTTTGACGGCATAATGTTTTTCTTTCTTTTGCATATGTTATCTGTTCCCTCAAAAGAACATACGACTTTATTATAACCTTTGCTTCTGCATATGCCTTTCTGCGTTTTTATTCAAGTCATGATTATCAAGTTTTATTGGGTCTCTGGGCCATAAAAAGTTACCAAAAAAAATATACATACATATTATGTATATCGTACTTTTGGCGACACGTTTGATGTTATCTTAGGTCAAAACTTTTCCACTGCACCCAAATCAGATAAATCAGATCATAGATACATACAGTCCCGTTGAGGGCTATTGGCCCACCTACGTCACATTTTTGCGATCCACGATTCTTATCGCTCCGTGATTGTATTACGCCTGCAGCCAGAAATCGAACATGTGTATATTTATAGACCATTCCTCTCTATCACGCATGCAAATCGTGAATAGCGCTTTGTGGCATGGCTCCCCAATGGAACACCGCAATCTCTACGCCGGGTCCCATGAAATCGGAAAGGAAAAAACCTTCCCAAACCCCCAAGTTAAGTTCACTGTGCCATTAGGTTTTTCGAGCTAGTGCCGTGAATGAGTCTTATCTGTTGTGTGTGCCCAAGTTTATTAACTTATAAAAAGAAAAGAAAACATCGTGAATGAGAATTTCGGCCTCCTCTTGCCCCCCAGTCGCAGACACTCGCCTGGCACATGTTAAACGCCTGATACCAAGCCGCAAAAAAGGAAAAAATCTAACAAACACAAGAAGTTCGGATGATGCTAATCGAAATTCTTAATACCCCTTATGTGCCAAATATATTGCTTTTTTATACCAGCTATTTGGGTATAACGATGCCCTTCCAATGAAATAGCAACCTTTTCCATTCTATTGAAAAGGTCCATCTCCTTTTGAACTTATATATTTGAATAAAATAATGAATATCTAGGAACTCAAACGTAGTATACCCAAATACCCATAGTACTCTGCAAAGCAGGTAGATTCTTCGCATTAAAAAATGTTATCGCCTGACAAATTTTTGGCACTTATCTGGGAGGTGCAGCGGGGGAACCGGTTCCGTACCCCCCATATGGCCCCATATCCTCCTTAAATACCCCAAGTGGCGAGACGGGGAGAATGTGTCACCCGAATGGTTTGCCGAAGATTGCGATGTGACGTTGTAGTCCCGGCCAGATAATTCCGATCGCTCTCTGAGACTTTGAACTTGCCTATAATTCATGCGACTCAGTCGCCGCAGAGCACAATAGAAGTGCTTTGATACGATGGGAAATAATTTCGTAGAGAGGAATGGAACCCATGAACTTGAAGCTAATCTACCACTTTTTTTTTACTGACACTTGGGTTTTTGATTGATAAGTTTATGTGGGACTAATTAAACGAGTGCCACTAAATTATGTGCTATTTTGGGCAAAAGGTATTTGCTAAAAATTTAATTAGGCGCAGCGAGCAATGGAAAATTTTGAAAAAGAATTCGATACCATGATCTTCTAATGGAGAATCTATTTATATCGTCGCTCATAAAGAGCAAGCAGTGTTTCTGACAAATACGTATTTTTAAATGCATTTCTCTGGCCAAAAGTTGAAGGACCCCATAGAGAGATATGTAATTCACATTATTATACTGTGTGTGACTGTTAATTATTGTTGAACTGATCTGTCAAAGAACTTGTGATGGAGCACCATTGGAATTTGTCGCAAAATATCTAAAGTTAAAATTAACCTTAAGCTACAGCCAGTTTTGTGCTTTTTCTCAACGTTATTTCGATGTTGGTGTTGCTGAAAAACAAAACTCATTCGGTTGTTTATTTTGCATATTTGAAATAGCTTTGCTCAAATGAATTTATTGCAAATCGCATTTTAAAGCATTTTGTTATTGTTATGCATGTCCGTTGTGACGCCGTATAAATCATTTCGCCATTGCATTTGATAACGTTTAACGATTATAAACCGCTGCCGTTCCTAGTTCGATAAAACAGTGTAAATATGGGGCGATTTTGTTGCATTACGTATGCGCACATTATTCAAGGTTCCACTTCTGGATGCAATGATTGTTCAACCACGCTGACAATCAATTGCACGATCTATCGATCGTCGAACTGTCCATTGGGGGCCAATTTAGAAAGCCATTCAGGTGAAAAGGTGCTCAGAGATGAGGGGTAAACAAAGCGCTGGAGAATGGGAAATGCATCCCATGAGAGGAAAAAACATGACGTAAAAATACAGATACAAAATTTTAGTTAAAAGGATATAAGCAATATGAATTAAACAGTAAAATATTTTAAACTATTATACATTTCTTAGAAAAAGTATTTCCGATGGTCTTAATTATTTTCTGTAATATTTTCTGTAAATACTTTCCTGATAAGCGCAGTTGCATTACATGATATTGATTCGGAATTGAATCAGGCCTCTGATTGCGTGGCCAACTCGGGAGAGAGATATAGCCGCCATATACTCGTGCTATATGGCCGAGCGAGCATGGGGACGAGTGTGCCACCTTTTCGAGGAGAGAGTGCGATCTTGGGGGCTCTACGGTGCGGCGCTGCTCCAACGGCGCTCATTCGCTTGTGAGCAGCCGTCAGTGTCGCGTGTGCCAGCAGCGGGATAAAATAGAAATAGTTACCTAGAATATCTAGCAGTGCATAAATGTATGTGTGTGTATGTGCATGGGTGTGGAAATAGTGTAAAACGAATGCGATACAAATAACTGAGCAACGTGCAAAATCACTTTCAAGTGCAACGCTGCAAGCGCTGCAATAAAAGTGCAATAAAATTACAATTTATTTTTACAATTTTTTTGCAGCCATATATAAACTGAACAAACTGTGCTAATTTAACCAGGAATAACTGTTAACTTAAACGGTGTGAACACGCTACTTTAACGCAGTACAGATCCAATTCAAATCGAGTGAAACCAAATTAGATCCCGAGAGATTTTCAGCAAGTGCAACGGTAACAACGTATAATGGCACCAACAATCACTGACAATTGCGAATTTGAATGTGCAACTGTTGAAGCAACAACAACATCAGCGATTACCATCGGTGATTCCGATAATTTCGATAGTTCGGCCATCGGCGGCAGCAGCGATAACTTCGAAGGATCGAATGAACTGCATTTGAACGGGCAGCAGGATCAGGATGCTCAGGAGGAGCAGCAGCAGCAAATGCCGTGGGAGGCACCTGGAAAACAGGGACTCTACGATCCCCAGAACGAGCACGAGGCCTGTGGAGTCGGTTTCATCGTGGCCATCGATGGCAAACGCTCTCACAAGGTAGGGATACAGGATACACATTTTGATACCGAAATTATTGTGAATTACCTAAGCTTTACTTGCAAAAGGAGAGTGTCTAAAAATAAGCGTTTTAAGAACTGTTTATATCTATATTAGGAAATTGTGCAAGCTCCTTCTATAAACTTCTTTCAATATTTAAAACAAATTTACATAAAATACAGTTCCACAGTTTCGTTTTATGTATGACATAAACATATGTTCTATTCGTTTAAAAATATGTAAAAGCATTATATTTGCTTTATTGATTGCTTCCTTTGCAAAGAAGTATCTAATTTGAAAGTGAGACATGTAATCTGAAAAGATTTTTTTCCACATAGATTCTACGTGATGCCCAGACCCTCTCAGAACGGATGAATCACCGCGGCGCCTGCGCCTGTGACAATGACACTGGCGATGGCGCTGGCGTCTTGGCTTCCATTCCTCACGGACTCTACTTCAAGGCTCTGTAAGTTCCCTCATATATACATATAGAAAGTACATAACAAGTTGGGCATCGCATATCGTATAGTGTGTTTATTTATGCCGGTTCCTCTGGCGCCGTCGCCATTGATGAACGAACTGCTTACACGGGACATGGGGCACGGGACTTGTTGGTGGGTCGGGGGTGTGGCGCAACAATATCGCCGCGATCTCGTGCGCGAAATCCGAAAATAGCTCAAAGCTGCCGTGTTGTTTGTCGCTGTCTGTCAGTTAAGATCTACTCTCTCAAGAAAGTATAATTCATCTGGGATTAAGTTTGTTGAATTGAGGCAACGAACTCATATTTAATCATGCTTTTCGGATATAATACCTATTTGATTCATTACAAACACGACTATAATTATATAACAATAAATGTATAATCAATCATGCAGTATGCACATAAGTTTTTTATACCTTTTTAGAGTATCAGTTAACAGTCTTTTTGTTATACAAATTGATATTAAGTTATAGAATAACCCGTTTAGCTTCATTTAATGATAGTGTTATTACTCAAACACTTCTTGAGATCACGTAACAATTTAAAGTGAGATTTATTGACTACTAACAATGCTGCAATGTATAAATGAGCTTATTTGCATTCATTTGTGATATACAAAACGAGACTTCGGGATGCACTTTCTGTCTCAAGGGTCCATTGGTGCCCCTTTATTGACTAAATCTGAAAGTACGTAAAGTATCTTAAGATCGAGCACCTCAAAAATAGTTCGCTGAAATGAGGCACATCCACAGATCCACAGAGATATACATTTAGAATATACATAAATATGCCGAGTGTATTTGCCTACCTATAGAGATCCGACAATCCAACATCTGCTCTCTGCTCCCGACCGACCTATGTATATTGTTTTTGTTTATTTTGTCAGCTTTTTGGCACGGTTCTTGTTTTCGTCACGCTTTGCCCAGAATCGGTAAACACACGTAACCGTAATATACATATTTATTTTTAATAGGCTTTATATGGGATTAAACGATGCTTTTTTACGGTCCAGTCTAAGTGGATAGCAGAATAGAAGACATTATCAGCCAATTACTTCGTGCGAATTATACAGCATTATTTAGCTCAACTACGCCAAATGGAAAAACACGGCAAGGTCCCCTATTCGTACCCCTCGGGTTCTTCACCTAATCCAGTGTGCCAGATGTGCATAGTAATGAGGTTCGGTCAGGTTATATTCAGACATTCTAGATGAAGAATACTTTGAATACCTTTATTAAGTGTTGATATATGTATTTCTACGAACTTTAAACCGAGCCCGATCAAACAGTTGAAATGGTAAGGGAAATGTGAAATGCGAATTCATACAGAATATTTGAAAAGTTTATTAAGGTTAACTGACCTAAATCGCTCAAATCAAAGTCAAATGTGCAAAAGACCTCTATGATTGTTAGCAGTTTAATCAGAGCTCAATTGCGTTGACCTATATTTAATAAATCATTTAAATATTTTATGCTCTTTCGGTTGCTAGGTGCTGTTTTTAGCATTTCTTTTGAGTCTACCAACTTCGTTGATAGTTTCCAATGGAACCGATCGATTTTAATGCGTTCCACTCCATTACAGCCAATGGAAGGCGACTTTCCCGAACCCCAGATAATAAAAACGACACTGTCCAAGCGTTTTACAACTCAATATGCGCTAATCAATGGCGCGAATTTGCCACTATTTGCTGTGTAATTAGTAGAGCAGCTGTCTGATGCCTGAGTATGCATATAATATACACAAATAGGAGGTGATAGATGGATTTTCACAACTGGTTGGGCCATTAGATCGCGTAATGTCGCACGACAGTTCCATAACTCTAGTTTAATTAGCGTCTAGCCTGCGGTTTAATCGATGTTCGGGGTGTTCCAGAGGTTTCAGTGTCTCGCTTTGGAAAAGAAATTGTGAAATACTTTGCATGCCAATCGAGGAGGAGGAAATTCACTTTAGACACGCACGTGCACACGGTCAAGAGCACTAAAGATTGCGATCTGAGAGCAACAAGTCGGCGATTGCCAAGTTCAAGGACCGCTTCAAGTCTTGGACTAATTGCGAAATTATGGCAAAACACTTAAACAGTACGCCGTCCATCGGATCGACCGTAATTCTGAGACGTAATAAGAACGAGGTTCAGGTACATATAACCTCAGCTCAATCTCAATTGCACCTGGCGAAAAACTTGGCACGTTTCTACTCAGGTTTCTATTCGTTTCGAAATCTAAAATGTTATATCTTTTATATCAAAGCTTTGAACAATATGAGTTAAGGCAATTTCTGTTACGTGCACTCTTATCACTCTTATTGCGCTCGGCTTTCGCTCAGTGTACGCATGCATGTCTGAATAACGAAAACAGGTGGACAGACGAATAATGACGGTGGACCGGTGGACGGGATGGGAGGTATGGGATCCGTTCCATTAGGTTGTGACGGCTGAATCGCTGACAGCTTCTCCATAGAGAAGTGCTGATAAGGTGCGACTTGTGGCGGACTCGTTTCGTCACCAGCTCTCAATGGAATGGCGCGATGAATGAATGACTGAATAACTCAACTGGGCGGCTTGGATTCACTTGCGGCAATAGAGACCCGACTATGCGCAATTTAATGGCGCATTAGTTTTGGAGCTCAGAATTTAGCCAAGGAAAAAATGATTCGATGACAAGTCGAATCTACGGCACTATATCCTTCAATCTTATTAAACCCCACTTATTCTCCGATTGCAGTGCCAAGCAAGGTGTAACCTTGCCGGAGTTGGGGGACTATGCCACGGGCATTTTCTACCTGGATGAGGCCCAGCATGCAGCTGCCGAGAAGGAGTTTGATGATCTGGCCAAGAGTCTTGGACTGGAGGTGATTGCCTGGCGCACTGTGCCGTCCAATCAGTCGGCCATTGGCGTGGTGGCCCGCAAGTCGGAGCCCTTGTCCCGTCAGGTGTTTGTCCGCCGTCCAGCCGGAAGCGACGAAAAGGCCTTCGAGCGGCAGGTTTTCGTCCTTAGGAAGAGGGCCAGCCATGAGCTGATCAAGCCGGGACGACGATTCTACATCTGCTCCCTGTCCGACCGCACAGTGGTCTACAAGGGTCTCTTTACTTCCGACCAGTTGTGGGACTACTACACGGACCTGAAGGATCCAGAGTTCGAAACCTACTTGGCATTGGTGCACACTCGCTTCTCCACCAACACCTTCCCCAGTTGGGAAAGGGCTCATCCTCTGCGAGTTCTGGCCCACAACGGTGAGATCAACACTCTCCGAGGCAATGTTAACCTCATGAAGGCCCGCGAGGGTGTCATGCAGTCGGATCTTTTTGGGGATCAGCTGAAGAAACTGTACCCAGTGGTGGAGCCGAATCTCTCGGACTCCGGCAGCTTCGATTGCGTGCTGGAGTTCCTCACCATGGCCAGCGATAGGTCGCTGCCGGAATCGGTGATGACCATGGTGCCGGAGGCATGGCAGAATGACAAGACTATGCCGCAGGAGAAGCGTGACTTCTATCAGTGGGCCGCCTGTGTCATGGAACCCTGGGACGGTCCGGCTCTTATTAGTTTCACCGACGGTCGCTACATTGGCGCCGTTTTGGATCGTAACGGACTGCGTCCATCGCGCTTCTACGTGACCAAGGAGAACGTGCTGGTCATGGCTTCTGAGGTGGGTGTGTACGATGTGGATCCATCGCAGGTGACCCTGAAGAGCCGCTTGAAGCCTGGCAGGATGTTGCTGGTGGACACCAAAGAGAAGAAGCTCATCCAGGACATCGAGCTGAAGGCCAAGATTGCCAAGTCTCGTCCTCATTCCGAGTGGCTGCAGCAGAAGGTGAGTTATGATTTGGTCACATGTGGCTTGGGGAAAGACTCGTTGGAGTACATTCGATAGAATGTTTTCAGTAACACTACCACAAATTAAAAGGTTAAATACAAGAACATTGATTCGTGGTATTGTTACTATAATAGAGAGCTTGTGCAATAAATCCAGCCACCACACTATACACATGTCAGGCTAACAGGGTCGATTTTCACTAATCATCGTAAAACACGAACTCATCCCCGGACACCCAATCGGAAAACTAATAAAATAATAATCTTTAATCTAAATTTGTCCATTCTCTCTCACGCTATCCCCTAATCTCAATCTATTTGTGTATTTTTGTTGTGGAACCGATGCAGATGGTGAGTTAACCAACCCAGATTGTCGTAGGTCCTAGGTCCTTTGTTTATTGGCCACCAAAAGTAGTATTGATCCTCGTTTTTGCCTCCCCGTTGCGTTTAATTTTGCATGTCCTTTGGTTGCATTAAAATATGATTATAATTATGTAGAAAAAAATTAAAAGTGGTTGTTGTATCGAAACAGATTACCCTGGATGAGATTCGCAACGCCAACGTCTTGAATACTCCTCCTGTTGATGAGCTGGCCAAGTTGCCCGCCTCCCAGAGGGGCATCTTCGATCCGAGGCTCTCTCTTTTCGGTTATACCACGGAAACGGTCAATATGCTGCTCATTCCCATGTTCAAGAACAAGTAAGTGGATAATTACACATAAGCAACATAAAGATAACCTTGTTCTCGTTTTAAAGGAAGGAAGCCCTTGGCTCCATGGGTAATGATGCCCCGCTGGCATGCCTGTCCAACTTCCAGCCCATACCCTATGAGTACTTCAAGCAGCTCTTCGCCCAAGTTACCAATCCGCCCATCGATCCATTCCGCGAGAAGGTGGTCATGTCGATGCAGTGTCCTCTCGGTCCGGAGGCGAATCTGCTGCAGCCGTCGGCTCAGCAGGTGCATCGTATTTGGCTCACCAATCCCATACTGAGCATTCCAGATACCCAGCTGCTCAAGCGGAATACGCACCGCGGCTGGCGGACCAAGGTCCTGGACATCACATTCCAGTGTAGCGAAGGCGTTCAGGGGTATATCGACGCCATCGACCGTGTCTGCCGCGAGGGATACGCAGCAGCTCAAGCTGGTTACCAGTTGTTGGTGATCTCCGATCGTGGAGCGGGAATCGATGGTAAGGTGGCAGTTTCAGCCCTTTTGGCCCTCGGAGCCTTGCATCATCATCTGATTGAGACCCTGCAGCGCATGAAGGTGGGCATTGTGGTGGAAACTGCTGAGGCCCGGGAAGTTCATCATATTTGTGTACTCCTTGGCTACGGAGCGGATGCCATTTGTCCATATCTGGCATTCGAATTGGCACAGGCTCTGCGGGATGACGGAGTAATTGGGCCGGAGGTCAGCGACAAGCAGATCTATGCCGCTTATGCCCAAGCTATTGATACGGGAATTGCAAAAGTAATGGCCAAAATGGGCATCAGCACTTTGCAATCCTACAAGAGCGCCCAGATCTTTGAGGCTGTGGGATTGGGCACCGACCTGGTGGCCAAGTGCTTCCGTGGCACCCAAAGTCGCATCGGTGGAGTCACCCTGGAGATTCTGGCTAAGGAGGGCCTTCAACGCTATCAACTAACCTATGGCAAGGCAACGCCGGACACACGCATCCTGCGAAATCCTGGCCAGTACCACTGGCGTCACGGTGGAGAGGCTCACATTAATGAGCCATCCTCCATTGGCAGCCTACAGGAAGCGGCCGTGAATAAGAATCTGAATGCATTTGAAGCCTTTAAGAAATCCACTCTGGATAGTGTGAAGAAGTGTGCTCTTCGAGGACAGCTGGAGTTTGTTACAGATCGGCAAAGTATAGATATCTCCGAGGTGGAGCCTGCCAGCGAGATTGTCAAGCGGTAGGTAACGAGTCCACATGTAAATCTTTCGGTGTTAAAGATTCTTTGTTCATTTGCGACACCTACAGCTTTGCCACGGGGGCCATGAGCTTTGGTAGCATCTCCCTGGAGGCTCATCAAACACTTTCGATCACCATGAATCGCATTGGTGGCAAGAGCAACACTGGTGAAGGTGGCGAGGACTCAGATCGTTACTTAAGTGAGTCGCAAAGTATATCCCTGTAAGATAATACATTAATCAACATTTATTTGTTATCACTTGCTATGCAGACCAAGATCCAAACAACAGCCGTCGATCAGCCATCAAGCAGGTGGCTTCGGGTCGTTTTGGCGTAACCGCATCCTACCTGGCTAATGCTGATGATCTGCAGATCAAAATGGCTCAGGGAGCCAAGCCGGGTGAGGGTGGCGAGCTACCGGGCTACAAGGTGACCAAGGATATTGCCAAGACCCGAAAGTCCGTACCCGGAGTGGGCTTGATCTCGCCTCCTCCGCATCACGATATCTACTCCATCGAAGATCTGGCTGAGCTGATCTATGATCTTAAATGCTCCAATCCGAATGCACGCATTAGTGTGAAGTTGGTGTCCGAAGTGGGCGTTGGTGTCGTCGCTTCCGGGGTTGCCAAGGTAGGTTTGGAATGCATTAGAAAGGAAAGAAAGCCTTTCACAACAAACAACTGTTTTAATGTAACAGGGCAAAGCCGAGCACATTGTAATTTCTGGACATGATGGTGGTACCGGAGCTAGCTCCTGGACAGGCATTAAAAATGCTGGATTACCCTGGGAACTGGGTGTGGCCGAGACGCATCAGGTGCTGGTGCTAAATAATCTACGATCACGGTAAGTTTCCGATTAGGAGAAGCCGGCACAGAGCCATTTCCGCTCTCTCCTCTTGTTGTTACTAATCATGAACCGATACATTACTGAAAGTGCCTGGTTATCCAGATGACAGCGTTGGAAAACCTGTTCAGAACATGTATTCCCAAAAGCAGAGATCCATTGATCATCGGAAAGTTGGGCTGATCCCCCTACACAACCCCATTGAAACTCCTCGTACATGTGGCCAGTGGGCGGTGGGCAGGAGGACGATGACACGGCGGTTGGGGAAGGCGAATCTTGTCCAGCGGAAGAGCGCTCAATAAGAGCTTCAATTGTTTGAAATCTGACAAATGATAGATGTCTCGATTGCGAACCCATGGACATGATCCAGTGTGAGGAAACGGATGAAGTGAAAGATCGATCCTTTAAAATGAAGAAGTAGCATATTCTTTGGACAGAGACCTTTGAAGTTATGAGTATCACTCAACTGATCTCCAGAGCTGAGCTACAGAAACCCGCTCCCAAACAGCTGTAAAACACGATTCGATCGATCCAGTCCAAATCCAAACTCCAGTCCACTCGCTCTACTCCACTCCACTCACTCGCTCACTCGATCACGATCGTCGCGCTGTGCTCCATTCGTAATTTCTTCTCATTACATTGATTCTCAGCCGGGGTTGAATTTGCTAACGTTGCCTTCCTTTTTATGTCCTGTCTTCCCACTATTAACGGTCTGGATCTGGATTTGTTTGGACGAACCTTCTTTAGTGTGATTGTCCAGGCTGATGGACAGCTCCGCACAGGATTCGATGTGGTGGTGGCTGCCTTGCTGGGTGCTGATGAGTTTGGTTTCAGTACCGCTCCATTGATCGTCATGGGTAAGTTGTGAGCATTTATTTTATACGTCTTTCGTGTTACAAATGCTATATAATTTCCAAAGGCTGCACCATGATGCGCAAGTGTCACTTGAACACCTGTCCCGTGGGCATTGCCACTCAGGACCCGGAGCTGCGCAAGAAGTTCACGGGCAAACCAGAGCATGTTATTAACTTCTTCTTCATGCTGGCCGAAGATGTAAGCTAATCTTCGTATAGCTTGTATATTTAATACTAAGCATTTTATAATTTTTAAAGATTCGCAAAATTATGGCTGGACTGGGCATTCGAAAGTTCCAGGACCTGATTGGCCGCACCGATCTATTGCGCATGGCCAGTCAACGCGATGCCAAGGCTAGTAACCTGGACCTCAAGTTGCTCCTGCAGCCAGCTTTGGAAATGCGTCCTGGCACGAACATCGTTGGAGGTTCCGTAAGGCAGGACTTCCAGCTGGAGAAGCGTTCCGACAACGAACTAATTGCCAAGGCTCAGCAAATATTCAGTGGAGCAGACGATAATGTAACCGTCAAGATGCGCATCCATAATGAGGAGCGAGCCTTTGGTTCTACTCTGAGCTACCATATTGCCTGGTAGGATTAAGTCTATTAACAAGGTGATCATAATCTAATTTGGTGTCCTCTGCAGCAAATATGGAGAGGCTGGCTTGCCCGCTGGCAAGAGCATCGATATCTTCCTAGAGGGATCCGCCGGTCAGAGTTTCTGCGCTTTCCTGGCGCGTGGTGTTAATGTGACATTGAAGGGTGATGCCAACGACTATGTGGGCAAGGGTCTATGCGGCGGCAATGTTGTCATCACTCCACAGGATACGGTTCCCTTCGAATCACATCTGAATGTGATCGTGGGCAACGTTTGCTTGTATGGAGCCACCGAGGGAACCGCTTATTTCCGCGGTATTGCTTCCGAGCGCTTCTGCGTACGCAATTCGGGTGTAACAGCCGTGGTGGAAGGTGTGGGCGATCACGGATGTGAATACATGACCGGTGGTGTGGTGGTTATCCTCGGCCTCACGGGAAGAAACTTCGCCGCTGGCATGTCCGGTGGTATTGCCTATGTGTACGATTTAGATGGATCGTTTAAGCCCAAGGTGAATCCGGAAAGTGTGGAACTCCTGCCGTTGGAAAATGAGAAGGATGTGTTGCTGGTCAAGGAACTCCTGGCTGATTTCATTGATAAGACAGGCTCGAAGGTGGCCAAGGAGTTGCTGGATAACTGGGCCGAAGCACAGGGCAAGTTCGTCAAGGTCTTCCCGTATGAATACCAAAAGGCTCTTAAGGACATGGCCGAACAGGAGGCAGTGGAGCAGCCACTGAAGTCCGCCATCGAGAATGGTAATGGAAAGCATGAACCGCACATCAAGGACATCGAGGAGGCCATTCAGGATGTGGCGCTCGAGCAGAAGCGTGCCGACCGCGTGCTAGATAAGACACGTGGCTTTGTCAAGTACAAGAGGGAATCCGCTCCCTACCGAGATGCTGGAGAGCGACAGAAGGATTGGGATGAAGTCTACAACTTCCCACATGTGCGCAAGAACCTCAAGGTTCAAGCAGCTCGCTGCATGGAATGCGGTGTGCCCTTCTGTCAGTCCAACTCCACAGGCTGCCCACTCGGTAACATCATTCCCAAGTGGAACGACCTCGTTTTCCACGGCGAGTGGCAGGAGGCTCTGCGTCAACTGCTGCAGACCAACAACTTCCCAGAGTTCACTGGTCGAGTTTGCCCCGCTCCCTGCGAGGGATCCTGCGTTCTGGGCATCTCCGAACCAGCTGTAACGATCAAGAACATCGAATGCGCCATCATCGATCATGCCTTCGAGCAGGGCTGGATTAAGCCAGAGATCCCAGAAGTGCGCACTGGCAAACGGGTGGCGATTGTGGGATCAGGACCTTCCGGTTTGGCTGCCTCACAGCAGCTGAACCGCGCCGGTCACTTTGTCACCGTCTTTGAGCGCAACGATCGCGTTGGTGGACTTTTGCAGTATGGTATTCCCACGATGAAGCTTTCTAAGGAGGTGGTCAAGCGGCGGGTAGATCTCATGGCTGACGAGGGTATCGAGTTCCGCACCAATGTCCATGTGGGCAAGGACCTCAAGGCCGAGCAACTACTGCAGGAGTAAGTATTATTGCGTATTTAAGGTGATCCAACAATTTTTGACGATTTTGACTTGATTGGGTCAAAAGAGTCCTCGAATTTTAGTGGAATATTATGTCCAGAACACATTTATTTATTACCCTCGAAATATTCCACAGGTACGATGCCGTCCTCTTGACCACTGGCTCCACTTGGCCTCGTGACTTGCCGCTAGCCAACCGTGACCTGAAGGGCATTCACTTTGCCATGGAGTTCCTGGAGGCGCAGCAGAAGAAGCAGCTGGGCGGCAAGAATGACATAATCTCTGCCGCTGGCAAGAATGTGATCATCATCGGCGGTGGCGATACCGGATGCGATTGCATTGCCACGTCGTTGCGTCAAGGCGCTAAGAGCATCACTACATTCGAGATCCTTCCGGAACCTCCACAGAAGCGTGCTGAGGACAACCCCTGGCCCCAGTGGCCGAAGGTCTTCCGCGTGGACTACGGACACGAGGAGGTGAAGCTCAAGTGGGGCAAGGATCCGCGTCAGTACTGCACCACCACCAAGGAGTTTGTGGGTGAGAATGGGGCCATTAAGGGCGTGAACACCGTCGAGGTGGAGTGGACCAAGACGGAAACGGGCCAGTGGCGCATGCAGGAGGTGGCCGGATCGGAGAAGTACTTCCCCGCAGACCTTATCCTCCTGGCCATGGGCTTCCTGGGGCCGGAGAAGACGGTGCCGAGCGAACTGGGCCTGGAGCTAGACCCGCGCGGCAACATCAAGGCATCCAGCGGACAGTATGGTACCTCTAACTCCAAGGTCTTTGCGGCAGGAGGTAAGTTTTTCGTTCATACGTCTTACATATATCTTTTAATATATAAACAGACATTATTGTTGAATGGTATTTATAGAATGCTATCAGTTCCTTAAAACAAAGCGAATTCTTTGCAGTAATCTGCAAATCAGATTGATTATTGATTTCAAGAGCTCCACATTAAATATCAAAGAAATAAGTTTCCACATTAATAGTTGCCACATTTTTAAAATGTATAGTATTTGATGAATCCGAATTAATTATTCGGATTATATTAATTATATTTTCGTAGTTATTTAAACAAGAATGATAATTTACCTTCTTTCTTTTGTAGATTGCCGGCGAGGCCAGTCGCTGGTCGTCTGGGCCATTACCGAGGGTCGTCAGGCCGCACGCCAAGTGGATTCCTATCTGACCGGCCGTCCAAGCGGGCTTCCAGGACCTGGTGGCGTCATCGGGACATCGTAAGGAGGATCTGCAGAGGCAGCCAGAGCAGCTAATATCAAGTTTTGTGTGCGTGCATCGTCCTTAGCCTATAGAGCGAAATTCTTTACCGATTTGTGATTTTTATTTTCGCGACTTTAGTTTAAACTAAACTAAACACTAAAAAGACTTGAGTTTTTTACACACCAAACCAAAACGAAACACGGTTCATTTAGTTTTATTTTCATCGCAAAGCTGGCTGGGAATTGTTAGTGGTTCGTCGAGATGCCCTCCATGGGTGATGATATGCTGCGGCAGGAGTCAATTAAGAGTGCAAACTGAAATGCTGATTGAAGCCAATCGAATACTTATATATCTTAAAGGAAATCGAATATCCAACAAAAAATCTAAGGACAATAACTAGAAACTTACCGTTATCGTTAAACAAAAAATTAATTGAACATTAAATATTTAGAAATGCATTTTTTCAATGTTGTTTAACTTGTGTTGCCTGTTCTACGCAAAAGAAATATATGAAATGAAAATTGATATGCTGATCTCCACCCTCCTATATACAATCCATAAATCGTATATGCAGAAAGAAATATTAAACAGAGATAGAGTATTAAACTCGGCCAATATCCAGACGCATTTTTTTAGATGTTGTTTGTGTGTTTTGAACTGCATTCGATCGTTGACCGCAAAAGTACCTAAGTGGCTATTGTTAAAACAAATGTGCTCTTTGGCAGCTATATGTATGAATACAGAGAAATACACAATTTATACAAAACATATTTAACCCAAATGTATACCCTTATACATACATCTCTATATAAATATATTTATGTGCAAGTATTTGATGAAATAAATATTCAAATTATTAAAAAGCATTTGGCCGATGATGAGTAGATATTTGGGATAGAATACGAGCAATGTGTTTTACATTTTATTTGGGGGGAAATGAAGTAAGGTCTATTTATTAATTATTTTAAAAGAGAGGTCTCTCGAATACGTTTTATAGCTAAATAATATATTAAAGCTACGGGTAACGAATGTAATAGCAAATACGTCGTTAGAGTCCTAAAATAAAAAGCTTTATTATATGTACCCCCTTTAATTTAAAATTAATGTTTTGTAACATTATGCATGAAATTTAAAGGAACAAGAAGCCAATGCTTTAGAGCAAATATTTGATAACTATTTTGTTAATTCGTAGAAATTGTATTTTGTTTGCTATAAAGGCCGTGCACAGTAAAATATTTATTTTCAAAGAGGCGTATTTTTTTACATTTTTTTTACAAATGAATTTTTATTTTAAATAAAGGCGCCATTTTGGAAGGCGTTTTCGTATTTCCACCAGCTGGTAACACTAAACGGGCGTCACTCTTTTCGTCTCTGGGCACATTGTCTGCCCTCGCACGCGTATTTTTCTGCCGATTTTGCGTGTAAATTTCGTTGTGAAAACATAGTAAAACAGCAATAATCATGGCCAATTTCGACCTGACACGCATAAACTGTCAATTTCTGGACAGGCACTTGACCTTCCCGCTGCTGGAGTTCTTGTGCGGCAAGGAGGTTAGAAACTCGACCAGGCGGTGCTCCGCCAGCGGTTGCCGTGTCACCAGTACATAACTAGGGAAAATCTACATACATATGTGTGACTTCTGTTGCAGATCTACAACCAGCAGGAGCTGCTGGAGTACATTTTGGAGACGGTGAACAAGACGAACATGATCGATTACACGATGGACACCCGCAAGCGTCTCAATCTCAGTCAGGAGATGCCCGAGGAGCTGGTGCAGCGCAAGGCGGAGGTCCTGGCCACGCTCAAGCAGCTGCAGAACGAGGTGGCACCCATCATGAAGGCCACCGACATCCTGAAGAACGGCGAGAGCATGAAGGACTCGAAGACCTTCGTCAACGCCCTGCAGAAGGACTACAACTTCAAGGTGGAGCACCTGGAGAGCGCCTACAAGCTGGCCAAGTACCTCTACGAGTGCGGCAACTATCAGGAGTCCACCTCTTACCTGTACTTCTGCCTCATCGTCATGTCGCCCAACGACAAGGTGCGTATGGAGCTCATTAAACAGGAAAAGGGGAAAATAACACTGAAACGTAATGTTTATTAACCAAGTGATTGTCTCGCAAATATTGCAGAACTACCTTAATGTGCTGTGGGGCAAGCTGGCCGCCGAGATCCTGACCCTGAACTGGAACACTGCTCTGGAGGATCTGACGCGTTTGCGCGACTACATCGACAGCGCCAACTTCAGCACCATCCAGGCCCTCCAGCAGCGCACCTGGCTGATCCACTGGTCGGTCCTAGTCTTCTTCAATCACCCCAAGGGACGCGATCTCATTATTGAGATGTTCCTGTACAAGCCCCTGTATTTGAACGCCATCCAGACAATGTGCCCGCACATCATGCGTTACTTGGCCACCGCCGTGGTGATCAACCGCACACGTCGTAATGCTCTGAAGGATTTAATCAAGGTCATCCAACAGGAGTCGTACACGTACCGTGATCCCATCACCGAGTTCCTGGAATGTCTGTACGTGAACTTTGACTTCGAGGGAGCGCGCCTGAAGCTGCACGAATGCCAGACGGTGATCCTCAATGACTTCTTCATCGTTGCCTGCCTCAATGAGTTCGTGGAGGACGCCCGCCTGATGATCTTCGAGACGTTCTGCCGCATCCACCAGTGCATCACCATCAGCATGCTGGCCGATAAGCTGAACATGAAGCCCAACGAGGCGGAGTGCTGGATCGTCAACCTCATCCGCAATGCCCGTCTCAATGCCAAGATCGATTCGAAACTGGGTCATGTGGTGATGGGCACCCAGCCCTTGAGTCCCTATCAGCAGCTGGTGGAGAAGATTGACTCGCTGTCCATGCGGTCGGAGCATTTGGCCGGTTTGATTGAGCGCAAGAGCAAGCAGAAGCAGAATCAGGAGTCAGCCGACTCCTGGAAGTACTACTAATTGCTGACTTTTTATCCACAATTAAGCTAAGACTCTTTGTACCCTTTAAAAACCGATGATTGCGCGCAGTCTAGCGAATAAACCAACATCTTACTCGTTCGCTCAATTCAACATTTGATTTTATTTCCTTCGGAATCAAAATTAGTTATACAAAAAACAATACCAAGGCGGGAATTTGTAATTTCGCTAGCCTACAGAATGCAAACGTCTGCTAATCCTAGAATCAGTTGTTTGTACCTACGGGTCGGTGCTGGATCTTTATGACGATCTGGCCCCGGATCACACTATTGATTGCTACCGCGACTTCTGCTTGACCACCAACCAGGACTTCACGGGCAGGTCCTGCAAGTATACAATCCATTTGCGCACCAGCAGCAACCACACTATGCCGTATAGAACGCAAATGCCGGACTCCAAGTAGTAGCCATCGAAGGTTATCTCGCACTTGCCAGCCGATGCTTCACAGCTCTGGGGAAATATAAAGACGGATTTTTGTTAAGTCCCCTTTATACTTTTATATAATAACTGGCCAACTTTGAGTTAGTTCACCTTTTCTTTTTTTGTAAAGCACTTTTACCAAACCAAAGACATGCAGTATCTTAAAGGTCTTTGCTTCTTAATTATCTTGAAAGTTGTAGAAACTCTCTCTTCTGAGCACTCACCTGTTGCTCCTCCTTGCCCTGGCAGGTATTTTCCCCATTATTGGAGCACTGTTTCCAGGTGAGCACGTCCACCAACCACAACACCACTGTATTGGGCCAATTACCGCCCAGATTGCACAATGTGTTCAAAAATGTCATGTAGGTGCCACCGACGGCTGGGTCGGAGATCTTGGCGAAAAATGCCATGGCGGCCACAAACATGGAGTACAGGAATACTTGGTAGATGGCGTAACTGGTGATCAGCAGGACGTAGTAATAAACAGGCACTGCTCCTTCCCGGATGATATATGGTGTGATGTAGGCTAAGCCAGTGGCCACGGTTGCCATGATGATGCGGTAGGGAATGGCCTTCAGATAGACGTCCATGGGACGTGGTCCGTTTGTGTACCGACCCACAGCCAGCGGCAGGATGAGCTGTAGCGGAATTAGGGGAATGGCCAGCAAGGCTAGTTTATCCTTCGGCACACCAGCGTCAATTAGCTTTAAGCTGGTCACAGCATCCGAGGCAGCAAACGTGACCTTCACGGTGAGCAGAATTACGGCCAGGATCTGGACGGGACGCATGCGCACCATGTCCCACAAAATCTTGTAACTCTGATGGATGTTCAACTCGTGCTCCTCCGTGTAGCGAGCGTCCATGTGTGCGTCTTCGATGTCGTTCTCCTTCTTAAAAATGGCCACCAAGGTAGTGGCCACCACAAATGTGATGCCCCAGAACCAAAGGAAGCGGGGCAATGTGATCATGCCCTCCTCGAGTGGCACGTCTCTTAAGTAGGTGTTGCAGAAATCCTTGGACTCCAGGGCAATGAACACCACATATCCCAAGAAGTAGCCAGCAGTTTGGCCCACACTATTGCAAGTTGAGGCATAGCCAACATTGCATCGCTTCAGCATGGTCAAAGCCCAGCCATCCACGGCTATGTCCTGGGTGGCAGCCAGGAAGTTGAGCAGGAAGAAGAGCAGCGTCAGGAGCGGCACATTTGGATCGACACCATTTCCGCCCAGCCACTGATCCACGTGAATGGAGAGGAGCAACATGAAGGCGCCCAGAAGGTACTGCACTGGGACCAGCCACGATTTCCGACGTCCAAATCGCCGTATGTACAGGGAATCCACAATTGGAGCCCACAGCAGCTTTAAGCTGAATGGCCAGTAGGCGAAGGAAAACTCCGCCTGTTGTTTGTAGCTGGCTCCTCTGTTCTGGAGCAACATGGGTATGGCCGCTATGAGCCCGATGGGAATGCCCTGCAGAACGTACAGAAACAGCAGTATGGCGATATTCCTCCGGTCTCCACGAATATCTGGCTTCTGGTGCTCTGCCTCCTTCTCCGACTTTGCTGGCTCGTCGATGAGCAGCTCCTGGTCGGCATTGCTGCCCGCTGGCTTTCTTCTTATGGCGGACATGCTGATCAGGTATTGATAGGTATATATTATAAAGACGTGCTACTATGGGGGCTACGGGCTCACCTGTTTTTCTGATCACCAACAAATAATAACAAATGTCCCAGGTCCACGTCACTCAAATGTTCAGCTTTTTACGTATTTCCCTGCTACAATTCCCTCGATGCCTTCAATTTGGTTAAATGTCTAAACGAATGGCTGTCTGAATCTCTGACAGTCCGCTCTTTGATTAATTCATTTTCCGTCGAATCGGAATATTTTCTTTCGTGGCATATGTTTGTTGACGTTCCAATATATTTTTATAGCAACTCGGTGTCGCACTACGCATGCAGTTGCTATAAAGCATGGCATGGTCACACTAATTATTGGAAATTTAAACTCAGTGGCGGGAGGCCCACGAAATGAAAATCATAACTTACTGATAAGTTAAGCGGACGGAAATCTGTAGGTATATTACTGTTTCGATTTTCCGCAGGATGTACGTAATATTTACACAAAAAGTATCTGGTTTCACGTCAGATAAGAAGCAACACGAAATTAAAACCAAATTACAGCAGCGACTAAAATAATATTTTACCCTGTCATGAACATCATAATATTACAATATAATATATGCTAGAAGAGTGAACAAGTATCAAAAACAAACATTTTGATGCCGTAATAAGAATATTTCATTTATATTTATGTTTCTTAAAATATCCACAAGCAAGCGACTATTGTTCTGACCGCTACTGTGACTAAAATGCTCACATCGTGCAGATAATGTTTAACTCCCACACCACTCCAAAAAATCACCGACAGAATTGTTTTGCAGCTGTTTTAATAATAAAGTGAATTACTGAGAGCATTTTGCTTGTTTGCTTGGCGAACACATTCAGATGTTTTTATATAATTAAAAGTAATTACTGATACAGGCCCCACAGCATCGCGGGCGCGTCGTTATTGGTTTCTCGAATAACAATTTCAATTTCCAAATACATACGTTTTTCATATTATACTCGAAACTGGTTGCGGTTGCTCTCCCCTCTTCCAGAGGAAAAGGCAATATTTGTGACTGGCTTTTGTTTGACTTTCATAGCTTAGCTTAAATTCTAATTAAGTGTTCAATTGAAACTCTTGTGATGCTGCTCGCTGGCTGGATGGCTGGCCTGTTGTTCTATTTTATTACGTTCTGGTCGTTCTGGTGTCGGCTTTTCCTGGCTGCTTCGATTGCTGTGCTTTCAATTGCTTTCATGGTTATGGTTCTGTTCCGGTTCCCCTTTTCGTTCATCTCGGGTGGCGTGCTCAAGCTCAATTAAATTTTTTGGAAGGCCGTTCAGCTATTAACAACACACTTTTCCGCTCCCAAACTTCGCTCCCAGGGTCTCGAGGTCCAACTTTACTTGGCGGGCGAGGAGCCCCCAAAGAATGGCTCCTCCCACTTGTGGTGCACCTCTGGCGTCAGGTTGCTAATCTGCACGTGCACGGCCTGGTGCTTCTCATACTTGGGCGGAATGGCGCACAGACGGTATTTGACCTCGTCCCCGGGCATGGGCACATATTCACCTTCGATGCTGTGGGAAGATTACAGTTTTGCAGGTCTTAAATAGCCAGCGCCAGCGCAAAGGTCACGCATGCATTATTCATCCACTTACTCGGAAACGTGGCAGAAAACGTCCTCTCCGCCGGCATGGGGTGTGATGAAGCCGTGTCCTTTGGTGCGACTGAAGGATTTCACAATACCGGTCACAACCGGATTTTCCAAGGCCCGAGCCGAGCTGTTTTCCCAGCGTTTTTTTTTTGTTTTTGAGTTTGCGCGGGTTTGTGTTTTGGCAGCGTTTGGGAAAAGAATTAAGCAAGAAGAGACAATTTAATCATTGACGGATGCAGGAATTCGAGGGGGTGGAAATTAAGTACGGGGATTATGTTTCAAAGGGTTCCCGAGAGCTTATAATTTTGCGCCTACACAGCCATTTAGCTGTGAACTTCTTTCAGAGAACTTTGACTTTGTTTTTCCATATTTGTTCATTTACAAAAATATATACATATATTTTTAATGTTGTTGAACCAATTAATTTCAATGCTCGATTACGCCTACTAAATTGTTTTATGCAACAAATGTAGTCTTAAACATTATAGAAAGCATTTGCTTTATAATTCACAAGAGCCTAAACATTCGATTACTATTTCAAAAGGTTGTATTTGGTTTGTATACAAAAGAGCAAACCTTGCGAAATAATATGAACTTTCGGCGCCCGTTTGGCTCCGTAAAGGCTCTACATACGGGCCAAGTTCCCTTTGGGGTCAAGTGTTTGAGGCCAGTGGGTGGGTGGTTTTGGTGGGTGGGTGGCAGGAGGACTTACGTCGAGGCCGTGCGGGTGCGCCTCGTGATGATGGGACTGGGCAGCTGCAGCGAGGCATTGGGACTATGGCTGTTGTGGTGGAACACGGGCGGCTTGGCGGCCAGCAGCTTCTCGGGCGTCCTTGGTTCGGCCATGGCTTTCTTCCTCTTTTCGTTTACTTGCCGATTTCTGCGTTCTTCGCTCTCCGTTCTTCCCCCTTCTTTGCTCTCTTCTTCTTATCTTCGGCCAGTAGAAGCGGCTTGCGCGTGTGTATATATGTGCGTATGTGTGTGTGTGTGCTTGTGGGTGAGTGGACGCCAGCCAAGTCTGTCGAGTTCAAGGCCACAGCGGGCGGGTTAGTCAGCCAGCAAATTGCGTTGCACTTATTTCACCTGTACTCTCTCAGCTTACCGAAAACTTCACGTCTTCTTATTTAGCACCTCTTGATAATTAACAATACCAAAATCCTGGCTTAGTTTCTTTTTTTTAGCGAAGCACCCACACACTGATGCAATTATTGCCGCTATGAGAAACGCCGGTTGCTAAATTTATTTGTATACCCTAAATCCGTTTTGCGGGGTATGTCTTTTATGAACTTTGGAATCTGGAGATGTTTTCGAACTTTTTAATCGACTTTTACACCGGTTTAATGCGCGCTTTTTAAGGATTTCACTTTTTTAACGAATGGCGGCGGAGGCGTCAAAGTCAGATCTCAGAGTGACCGTTTTGAAATGTTTCAGAAAACCCAAAAGCTATCGCTTAGCTTTTTCCGTAATCGATGTTTATAGCAACATGAGGGAGAGAGAAAAATAAATATTTTTAGCACAGCAGGGATGACTCTAAATTATTTTATCATTATTTATTATTATTATATTATTTTATATATATTTATTCAGTATATTTATTATTATTATTTATCAGATAGTAGCCGATAGTTTTACTCAGTGTTCCATCGCTAAAGCAGCTCGATTTTGACCATCTCTAGCTTGAAATTTAGCGTCTTGGCTGATATTTTGAGATATATCGAAAAATAACAAGATCGGCAGTGAACTGTCATGTTTCCCAGGAGGAAATCTTGATTGAGCACATATATGAGTGAAACGGACAGCGAAGGTGGGGCGGAAGTCGAGAGCGCCGTGGATTCGGAAATATACTCATCGGACAGCAGGGAATCCGATCAGCCTGCTTTGAGAAGGAGGAATACAGACTTAGGTCCGGAGTTTATGCTGCAAGGAATGGAGAATGTATACGAAGCTCTCGAGCCGGAAGCCAATGAAGATGATAGCTCTACAGAAGAAGAGGCGAGCCTCAATCCAGTTGAAGCTCAGCAGCCGGCGCCTGAGATTCAGGTACAACTGGGCGAGGAAGCTTTTGATCAGCCTGGTGAGAACCAGGAACACGAGCAACCGGCAGTCTTGCCAAGAGTTCCGTCACCAATTGTGGTAGATCCCTCGCCTTTGGTCAGTCCCCCAAGAACTTCCCGGCGTAACCAAGGCGAAGAACCAGAGGTTATCTCATTGGAAACGCCATCACCGCCCAAAAAACGTAAACGTCTCTCCGCTGCTGCCGATAAAAGCCTTAAGAAGTCTCCCGAGGGCAAACCAATAGCTGTGGATGACGAGGACGATGGTCTGACCTGTCCCATTTGTCTGGATTCCTGGGAGATGAGTGGCGACCATCGGTTGGTCTCGCTACGATGTGGTCATCTCTTTGGAGAATCCTGCATTCGACGATGGCTAAATGAAAGCCAACGCCAATCTTCTGTAAAGGTGTGCCCGCAGTGCAAAACGAAGGCCGCATTTAGAGATATCCGTCATCTGTACGCGAAGCGCATTCAGATGCTGGACACGGATATTAGGGAGCAGCTAGAGGCGGAGCGCCGGCGTACCCATACTCTTACAACAGAGCTGGCTACTGCGAAGCTGGCTCACACACTAACCGCCGAGAAGCTAATGCTCCTGCAAAAGGACTACGATCGGCTTAAGGAGCTGGTGAGAGTAGGTGGTGGGCGGGGAGCATTCGGAGACGATGCCTCCGGCCAGAAGAGCATTCAACAACTGGCCACGTATCGATTGTACATGGAGAAGAACTTCGAGATTACTCGAGAGCCTGGCTGCCGAGTACTACTCTATTCCGCCAAGCACTCCATGCTGGTGGCCTCGCAAAAGAGTGCTCAAAACCTGTTTCCCGGCTACGGAGTACGATTCATTGATCCGCCCAGCTTCAAGCCACTGCACTTCCTGCACACCTCAGCGCTCTTAATCAGGGACATTGCGTTTAGCGAGTCACAGCACTTGCTCACGGTGGCCAGTCGGGAACCAAAGATCAAGATCTTTGACATAAGAACACGACTTTGCTCGTCTATGTTCACCGCTCATGACAAAATGCTGTGGTCGTGCGCCCTGGATCGGAATGAGCGCGAACACTTTCTGTACGGCGGAGACCTGCGAGGTGGAGTTTATATCTACGACTTGCGGTTTCCCGAGAACATTCTCTGCGAATTCCAAGCCGCAGGTGAGTGTCACGAGTCTGCCAACGTTAATTCCCGCTTAAAGCACTTTCTTATGCCTTACAGAGAACTTTAGTCCTGTGATACACATAGTTCCTGTGCCACCAAATAAGATTTTCACCAGTGGTGGCTTCCTGGTCTGCCAGCTGACGGCCCTTACATTTTACGAGTACGCCGCGGCCAGTGATACGGCTGTGCCCACTCGACTAAATGTGGAGGGCCCCTTTCTGTCCATGCAATACGATGTCGTGCAGGACACGGTGCTCATATCCGCCCGATCCAATCCGAATTTTCCCCAGTCTCGCTTCATACTCGGCCGACTGGACAAGATCGATGGAACGCCAGTGCTGAAGGTCAAGGCCACCATCTATGGATCGAAAGCCACACCCATTATGACGCGACCGACCCAACTGGGCGTCGAGGATAATACCTTGGTGGTGGGCTATCTCCAGGACAGCAAGCAGCTAATGATGCATGATGTGCGGCGGGAGGAGCGAGTGCAAACAATGCCGGTCAATGAGGTGATCTACGACATCTGTCCGGTGGCTACCCAGGCCGGATCCTATTTGGCCGCCCTCACCGACAATAAGTGTAGAGTTTACAAAGCAAACAGTTCCATGCGATAACATATATCTGCATTATTTTCTGTGAAAATACCCAAAGTTGTGTTTTCTTTTAGCTAATTTCTGTGAAATATGTGACTGCTGATATAAACGAGCTTTTAGGCTAAGTTATTAGTTTTAAATTTTTCATTGTTTCCGTTTATTAAACATTTGTCAACCTTAAGGTTCGCGTACAAGATTAATCTGAACATAAATCTATATTGTGTACTCCATGTTCTTGTTTTTGATTCTTGATTTCCATTTTTGAATGCTCAAAGTCTGTTGTGGATAAGTCTTGTATAAAACAATAGAAAATGTTGGTTCGATTAATAATATACATATAAAGCTATACAAAAATGTGTTATCCATACAATATCCGATTTATATATATGCGTAATTATAGATACTCCTAAATGAATTGTGGAAATGAACGAATGATTAAATAGATGTCTAAATTCATTCCTGACAGTCTCGAAATGTTTGCAACACTTCAAACTTTTGGAAAAGTCCTTCCATATTAAACTTGCAACGAGTCTTGAGCGGCACACGCTAGTTGGGATTGAAGGCAACCCGGTCTAGCGTTTCCGAGCCCAAGTCCATCTTAATGAATTCGGTTTGCTTCTCTCGAGTCTTGAGTTTTGTAAAATTCTATCAAAAAATGTTCGTCATTGGTCGTTTGCGGGTTTTTTGGTTTTTTTGGTAAATCAAAAACCTTTGTGGCATTTACTCCTATAAAGTTGTATATGGTTTATAGTATAGTATATAGATTAGTGTGTTGGATAGTTGAAAGACGCAGATCTATACTTTTTAAGTATAATTTTGTATATTTTGTGATGTTTTATTTGTGTTTTTGCTGTTTGTGTCAGTGTGGTTTTGTGTTCGTTAATGTTAAGATTAGAGAATACGTATTCGATTGAAGAATCGTATGGAGTCAGCATAACTTAAGACTTTCAACTTAAACTGTACGAGAACTAAATATCCGTTACACATATTTATATATATATAAACATTACATTAACTTATGCTAAACTAAACACGAAGCGAAGTCGGGAAGTATTAAGCTTTGATTAGGTGCTCGGTTAGTATTAAATTTAAAGCAATCGAACGTTGATTTAAAGTCCAAAAGCTAAAAAACTTTACACTTATTGGAGTTTAAATCTATTGGTGTAGATCCCTTGAAATTTAATAGAAACCGAGGGCGCAACAAAGCTGAATGAGATAATCGATTCCAGGCGGATCAAGAGAGGTGAGAAAGTTTAGAAGCGAGGGGATATCTTTTGGGATTTTGGTTTGCTTAATCGACGCGCGCATACCGCGGCACAATATCCTTGCTGATCCAGTAGTTGCAGGGCAAGTAGTCCTCCTCCGGCTGCGCATCCTGGCCAACATTGATGACCCGGCGGTTCTGGACGAACGACTGCACCGTGCCATGGGAGACATAGTAGTAGAATAGCTGCTGCATGGCCGACACGAAGCGGCGCTGCTCTACGGTGTGCGGCTCATAGCGACCGAGAATGGCCTGGACATCGGCGTCCACGGTGGCCAGTTGATCGGGTCCCTCGCCTTGGGTGACGACATAGAACGGCACACTGGGCTGTTGTCTCGCATTCGTGAGCAGCGGGCAAACGCTGCGAATGTCCGAAATGATAGAAACCAGCGACGCATAGCTACTGGCATTGTACTTCTCGATAACCTCATCGGTGAGGCCCAATGCACCAATCTGCGACTTTTCCAGATAAGCACGCACCTCCTCACGCGTCCAGTTCGCATGCAATTCGCGCAGTTTCTCGGTGTGCGCCTCATGCGCAGTGGCCCCCATCACCAGCACCGGCTTGTCGTTGCCCTGTTCGCGCTTCCATGTATCCGAAGGATGTTCAAAGACCACATCTCCATCGAGAACCAACCACTCGTGGCGGCTGCCGCTGGCATTCGCCTCCTGCGATTGTGGCAGATCCACGGGGAAGTGCAGCCAGGTGTCGGGAGTGGCGGCCCAAAGTCGCTCGCTGGAGGATTCACGCAGGCACTGGATATCAGCGCACTCGAGGGTGCCCATCAGCTGCTCGTTGAGCTTGCCAGATTCGCTCAAGGGTTTACCAGGCAGGATAGCTGATCCAGATGATGCCCAGGCCCTGGTGTACAGACCCTTGACCTTCTGGGAGTTAACTAAGAGAGTGACCAGAGTGGCTCCGGCCCGATGACCCAGCAAGGTGACGGATTTGGGGTCGCCACCAAAATGAACGATGTTCAACTTGATCCAGTTCAGCACGGCGATGATATCCGTGAGCGCATAGTTTCCAGAAGTTGGCGGATGTGCCTCCTTGGTCAAGGCGTCGAGGGCGAGGAAGCCGAAGACACCCAAACGGAAATTGGGACGCACAAAGATCACATCGTGCGATCGAGAATAGCGAGCCGATGGACGGAGAATACCCGGCGAAGGACCAGCTAAGGATTCTGCGCCGATCAGGACGACCACAGGCAAGGGGTTGTTGTATCGCACATGCGGAGTGACCACATCAAGGTATAGACAATCCTCGTCGCCAACAGTGGTGCCATTTCCCAGTCGCTGCGTGCACACCACACTGCTGTTATGGGTTTGCAGGGTATCATTCCAGCACATATTGATGTCATCAATCAATTCAGCCGGCTTCCATCTCAGTCTATCCACAGGTGGCTTTGCATATGGAATACCACGGAAGGCAAAGGCACCATCTTCCTTAACGCCCTCCACGGGTCCGCACCCCGTCACTGCCATTATGTAGCGTCCTTCCCGCAGTGGCGGCGAAGTCAAAGTCTCGTGGGTTAGTACATAACCAATAACGCCCAACAGGAGCACGAATAGCAGGATGCCAAACACAATCAGGGCATCGTCCACACTGCACTTGTAGCCACGCAGACGGGTTAGCAAGGAGACAGGACGATTTTGCTCCTCCTCCTCGGCGGCCAGTTTTTCCTCCGCCGCCAGCTTTTCGTCCTTCAGCTCGCCCTTCAGCTCCTCGGTGCCGTTGGTCTTGACGGGAGCCCGATCCACTGTGTCTTGATCCTTAAGGGAATCATCGAGGGTCTCCATCGAGGCCAGACCGGCCTTGCCCAAGCCCAGCTCCACATCATCGCTGCTCTTCTTTTTCGGTATCATGTTGGCGATCGGCAGCTTGATGGCGTTCAACAGTCCACGCTTTGGTGGTGCATCGGAGGCATCTTCAGCGGGCGTAGCTTCAGCGGTGGCTTCTGCAAAAGGTAGGATTTTTTTAAAATTTGAATTATGGAATTTATTTTATGGCTTGATAGTATAGATAGTCGCTCAATTACTATAGTTTTTACCATTCTACGGGAATTATATTGAATGTGCTCACCAGACTTGGCATCTGCGTCTCCGTTGACCAGCTGCTTCTTTTCCTTTTCGGCGGATGGCTTGCGGGCAAAGAAGCTGCGCAGGCGTTCCCCCAGTCCTGGGCGAGATTTCTGTTCGTCCTTGCCAGAGCCGGTGGCGGCATCTCCATTGGCCTCCTTATCCTTGTCCTCCTCCTTCTCCTTTTCGAGCAGCTCGCCCTCGGCGCCGTCACCCTCTGCCTTGGGCTTGTTCTTCATGAAGAAACCGGGCAGCTTGAGACCTCCGATCGGGATCTTTTTGGGCTTGACCTCGCGCTCCTCCTTGCTTATCTTTTTGTCATCGGCGCCTTCTGGTTTAGTGCCATTTTCAGCGGGAATATCGATAATCTCTTCTCCATTTCCTGGTTTGGCTGGCGCTGACTCAGCATCCTCGATTCTTTTCTCGGCCACTGGTGAGGATTTCTTGCCGGCATTTGGAGATGCCGGCTTGGAGCTTTGTGGACTGGGCGTTTTCTCCTTGCTGTCCTCTTTTTTGTCCAGCATTTTATCCGTTTCCTTGGGCTCCTCTAGCGCCTCTTGCTGGGCGGCTGTTGTCTCAGTGGGCGGGGTTTCCTTCTCTTCGAGTTCGCCCATATTGTCGATGAATCAAGATCGTTTAGAGAACTCTGCGAGAATTCTGTAAAAAGAGAAAGAAACGTATTTGGTTAGTTTATATTTTAGATGACGTGTCCTCAGTGGGACATACCTTGACTTAGTTGAGCAAAAAAAATAACTAAGTTACACTTTGGTTCGGGTTTTAAGTGACTTTTTTAGGGATCTGCGATCTAGGATCTATCACGATCGAAGGCTGAAATTCTTCTAGCTGCCGCTTCCAGCTGCACATGGTTTTTATACGATTCCGGCAGAAACTAGCCTAAGGACGAGCAGCTGATCCTGGCAAATGGCCACGCATGCTGCTCCCTCTCCTTTGTCCTTGCACAATTGCTTGAGGGTTTTCCTCGCGCTCTCCCTTTCTCTACCTGAATCCATAGCTTAAAATCCTACCTGGAAAATGTTGTCCCACTCAGGTAGGCCGTGGAAAATTTGCTCGTATTTCCCTCAACATATCCTGGCAACGTGGCACTTTTTCGGGGCGGGAAGACCGCAAATTTATTAAGCGAGCAGATCCAGCTGCGTACCCATCATTTTTTGATCCGATGCCCGTACCGGATTGCTTCCTTCTGACACTTTTCTCTAGATTCCATACATTTGCCTGTTTGGTACGTGCGCCTGGTCGCTTTTCACACGTCACACGTTCTCGGAAAAACGCTCTTAATTAGCGAGCAGTTATAAGGCCAACGTGGAAAACATCCAAGGACATTTGACATGTCCTTTTGCATCATTATGCCAAAACGCAGCTCGCAGCGGGATTGCAGTAGCAAATCACGTCCAGACTAATTGACCGCACCAGAAAGTGCCAGAAGTCATGAGAATTTTCTTTCTCAAAAACATCTTACGCTGACTTTGCCTGACTTTTTTAATGAGCCGCACATTAGAATGACATTAGCCAAGAGACGCGAAAAGATCGTGATCATCTAAAAAACATTTGGGTTTCCAGACGGAGTACAACTCATAGGTTTTTTTGAAATGCTCAAATGTTGATAAAAATGTATTATAAACAATATAATTGTCCAATTCTAAATTAAGATGATCTACATTTCGTGGAAACCCTATAAATGAGCGACTTGCATCGCTTATCAATCCAAGTAAAATTAGCTCAAATATTAATGTCAGTTTTGTCCATCTGACCCACTGAATGTAGCTCCATGTCATCGGCTATTACTGCACCGTTTCTCATT